CGACCTTCTAGCTCTTTTACCGCGACAACCGATTAGGTGATCGACCACGGAGTCTCTTTCCCTCCACCTTACCCACCACAACCAGTTTGTCAAGGTTGTCTGGTTGTCGGCGAGCAATATGACCAATAAACACTGCGCTATCTTAATTTTTTTTGTGTGTTACACGATAATTCCGATTTGTGACCCATTTTCATGTTTTTTTTTGTCGGAAAGAAGTTACCTCGGTAGAGGTCCTATTTAAATTTGAAGAAAATATTCCATCCCCTAAAACCGATCCCCTGGGGGATCCGTTTTATTTTTAAATATTTTCTATTACCATCGGATCCCCAATGCAGTGGATCAAGAATAAATATTAATACTTTATTCCCATCTGATACCCTCGTACTTCCAAGTTTATTTTTGGTAGGTACTGTGGCACAGTCAACAAGAAAATGTATATCATTACTCAAGGTTGATTTATGTTACTTGTGATTTGCAATATGCCAATATTAATGACCTGTCACAAAAAAAAATATTGTCCGATAATTGAAACATTTGATTATAATTCCTGAATAAATGAATATTTGATTTCAAAACTTCTTTTTCTCTTGACTGTACATATCTTACAAATACAATGAATCCGTTGGGAGTTGCAATATATAAAGGGGATCAGTTGAATTTTAATTGGCGGCGGATCAGTTTTGGGGGTCAGATGGGAATAAATCTAAATTAAGGTTGTTTAAATTGAAAACAGAAAATGACCAAAAAATTTAGTTGGCGTAGTTTACATTGGAGGTATCGATTTGTTATATAGACTTACACTGAGGACACCTTCAAATGAGACGCTTGTACGTAGAACGCTTATATGCCGCCACTGGTGTGCTTCTATAAGTATACTTAGTAGCATATCGACTGTGAAGTGGCAATCGGTACTATCAGGTACTATCTCAATTTTGACAACTATAAAGTTGTCAAAATATAGTTTTTAAATATTTTTATTACACATGTATTTTTATTTAATAAACCAGATGCTATATAAATGACGCAAACAATTCTTTTCTTCACATGTAAAGTTATCAAAATTGAGATAGTACCGGTTGCCAGTTCACAGTCGATATTGCTACCTTGATGGCGCTGTCTGGGGCCACGTTGAGATCTTTCCTCGGCACTTGACGCACACCTGAATTGCTGCTGCCTTTATAATAATAAATATCATATACGTTGTTATATCAAATAGTAGCAGTAGAGCTCCTCGTGACAGAGTTTGTCCAGGGAAGTACTGCCAACTTAAATAAAATAAAAAAAATACAAATATAACATTACTTACCACCAGGCGCACAACGTATTTGTCTCGTCACATGATATCATAAACAAATCAAAGAAAGAAAGTAGGGAGGTTCAAACAAAAAACAAAGTCAATATTTTTCCTTTTTTTTATTAGAAAAAAAAAGCTATTTTTATTACACTACATCACAGTATAATAGAAAGAACGTTAAATGAATCGATTAACTTTACAAAAGTTACATTTTGGTTTATTTTAGATATACTAAAATAATTGTTAAATTGTTTTAACCATTACGTGAACTGATAGCGCAATTACACCAGGTCGTTTGCCGCTTTCGCTTAAAAGCCAAAAGCACCACGTCCATATAAATACACGGAATTAGACCTGCCGTGCTCCCGACCCGACACGCGCCCTATCCGGTGGGGCGTGGCCGCGGACACGTTGAAACCTGTTTATTTATTTACAACGGTCGCCTTGCGACCTGGTGTAGATGCAACATAGACGCCGATTCACTAGAGTATAAAGGTTTAGGTAATTAATTGTCTACAGTAAACAAACTTCAGTGACCGTAGCATGGCAGTATACGTGTGATAAACCTGACCGTGACAAGTTTTATTTCAGTTGATGAAGCTAAGTTTGCTTATTTAATAATGAACTATTGTTATACATGTTGACGAACAAGGACAACGATATGAATCTTTGTCTTCATTTATCGCCGCGAAAACAATATTTTTATTATTTCTTTTCATCCCTTTCGTCGCGCTCAATCTTTACGTTGATAAAATTACTGGGCAGAACTGTCAAAATGTTTCAAAATCAGCTGTGACCTTGTAGCCACGTTTTGCATTGTGTTAATATTTTGCAGTCATTGGTCGCGATTCTCGCGATGACACAAAAATGACGCCACGGTGCTCGCCATGTTGGCTATTGTGATAAAACTATAAAATCATTTATAAAATCGTTTATCACTCGAATTTGAGAGCAAAGTGTGGATATAATAGCTTTATCGAGGCGGCGTCCTACGGGGGCTGTCACTTGGTTAACCGGTCAAGTACAATATTTACTAGTGAGTTTCATACGTCGTATTACTGCTGTACCCTTTAATTTGGTCGCATGTTATTAGCTATCATCTTTTTAAAGGCTGGATTTTAGGTTGTTTATCGTAGGAAAGTTGTGATACACGTTATTGAATTTAGTTAAATATTATATTAATATAATATAAAATGTTGTCTATTACTTGAAAAGATTATCATATATTTAGAACCGTTTCCAAAAAGTTTATTACAATTTTACAATAAGTGATCAGGTAATACCTTATAAAATACTTCATTATGATTTGTTTACATTTAGTTAACTACCTAAACCATTGTAGTTTAGATATTTTGCTAAAACCAAACCTAAATTCTTTGGGGTCAATTCGGATTTAAATCCTTGGGGGATAAGTCAATGGTTTTTTTTTTAAATTTAAAAACTAAGTGCGCATTTGACTTCCATTTCACCTGATGACGATGAGGTCCACTTAAATAATGCCAATTCACTCTCGCCTTAAAAAGGCCCAAGTTACACCATTCAGGTAACATGTCTGCAGGCAGAGATTCCACACCATAGCCCTTCGCCATATAAATGTGGCAGCGAAACGTTTCGTGCGAACCCTTGGAATATCAACAACATAAGAGTGGAACCCCGGTCTGGTCCTATGAATGGAAAGGCGAAGGCGAAATCGTACAATTCAGTATTTTTATTGTACGAATAGTAAATGTAATAATAATTAGCAAATTAATAGACTAGAATTAAGAAATATTCCAATTCGTATTATTATTGACACAAAGATTAAACAAACACAAGAACACTTTCGATCAACCTGAACTCGAACCAGCCCCCTAAACGTGGCTATCGCTCAGCCGACTGACAAATTCACGGATTTATATACTTCATAAACTGGATCGCTTCTTTCGATATAGCAATATTACAAATTTACACCCTATTGGGTTATGTTAAGGTTGGTTTTGAGTAAAAGTAAAAAACCGAGACACGTGAGATAGCTCGAAATAGTGGTCTGTCCTTGTCTAACACGTTGCCAACGCTATTTAAAATCTTCTTAGGTAGTAGACACTACCTAGAATAGTGGCAGGTTTGGGCGCGCTTATAGTATGCAAATCTATAGAAGATAGGTCTAATAATATGTCTGTAGTGATTCAAAGACTGGATCGACTAAGACTTTGTAACGATGGGGCACTAAAGGTATCCCATACAAAGAATACATATTTTATTTTATTATTAGGACAATAGGATCTCTCGATTGGCATTTGTTTAGAGAAGTATCGTGAAAAAAATCTAATGTTCGCAATATCGCAGATCCGACCCACTGTGCGTCGCAAAGTTAAGATAAATATCTGCCTGTCACCAATTACTTCAATTTTTAATGTTCTCAAGTGATTTCCCGAATCCCGAAAAGGTCCAGGACCTAAAAAATATTGTCGTAAGGCAGTTTCCATTTTCTGTCTACGTTTCTCGAAGTTTAGGTAAAAAAACTCTACCTATCCGATCCCTAGTAATAATACAAAAAATATATATATATATGTATATATATATATAAACAATGAAATTTTCTATTATGAAGTAGCATATCAAACAAGTATGCTAATTTGTATTAAGAAATAATATTAGTAGTTTTGGTCATCCATAAGCGGCCACATTTTTTGTAAAAACTAAAAAAGTAAAAACAATATGGCTGGCTGAAAAATTAATGAACAACCCATTGACTTACAAATAAATGGACGACGGGTCTAATACAAAAACCACGAAAAAAATGTCCCAAGTCAACCTATTCGAAATTTAAATTGTTATGTCATCGCAGTATCGCGCTGTCCGTAGAACAAATGAAGACTAAAGCGGAGTGTCGCGCTCTGTATACAATTTTAGCGCCTTACAAGTGCGGACACTTTTTAGCGTCGTCCGACGTCCATATAATTGTAAGTCAATGGAACAACCCATTAGAATGAGACGCATTACTACTTTGAAGCTTCTCACTCGGCTCGCTTTATTAACTTAGTGCGCGGTCCAGTTTAATTATACAAGTCCGTGGACGAATTTTCCTATGTGCTTGATGCGGATCTTTGTATGAATAATACTCCTCTCCTCCTTGTCAAAAACAACGCATTTACATTTCGGTAACTTTCGTGATAATGGCGGGCTTTACGCGGACATTCCATTGAGCGCGCGTGTAAAGACGTTGGAAGACTTATCAGTCGCACGCGCAATTACGCACTCTAACACGCGCCAGTTTCACGTGGTCTGTCCTGCGCTATTAGCCTTTACACAGACGTTCTTTCCGTTGTAACAAAAACGAACACGAGCAATCGCACGCGAGAGAGCGTTGCCTTAAATAATTCTAGCGTTTTCATTGAAAAAAAAAAAACCAACTTCAAAAGTTTGCTTATCAGCTTGTTTGTCGGTTCTGACTTCTTGGTGACAGTGGGACTGTTACGGACCCCTTGGTGCATTTCATACTTTTTCTTCTTGTTGTCATGGTGATTTGTTGATTACATGTCGACCCCTCCGACGTAAACTATCGTATGTCGAAATTGCCAAGTTTACAGAGGAGCCTTTTAAATATTCTGAATTCACTGAAATAAGCACAACACGTGACTTTAGCGTTTCTCAGTTTTATTCGACAAAGCTTGCATCACATAGAGTATTATAAAATCCTAGATATCGGTTAGAGGATGTATTAGATGATCACTCTATTTGAGTAACGAGCTTTGCCGAATAAAACGGAGAACTTTGAAACGCTTCCCTGTAAACTTGGCAATTTCGACAAACGATACTTTACGTAGGAGGGGTCGATGTATTGTGTCAAATGAAAAGTCGACTCTTATTTAAGGAAAAAAATTAGTAATTTGTGATAGCCGAAACGAACCCGGGACGCATCGTCGGTATCAGGGACCACCTCGAGAGTACACCCTTCCAAACAAAAAAATAATTTTCAAAATTGGTCCACAATTGATGGAGAAATTGGTATTGCACACTGACATGCCTATAAAATTTGAGGATTTTTCTAGATTTCCATGTGATCCCCTCATAAGATTCTGACTTGGTGGCAATGGGACCACCACAAGGGTGCACCATTACAAACAAAAAAAGAATTTTCAAAATCGATTCACAATTGACGGAGAAATCGAAAAACATATGTAACACATACACACAGCCGAACGCATAACCTCTTCCTTTTTTTTGAAGTCGGTTAAAAATTTGAAACACGTAATCGCGCACGATTGCGCGTGCAAGCTTTCCGCGCGATAGAGCGACTGTGTAAAGGGGGCAATTGACACTATCGACATACAACTGAGATGGTTTAAATTTACCAGAATTTGGGGCCCAGAAACTCTAACCGATATAGACATAGCCTAAAACGGTGGTTCGACCAGTTATCCTATATCTTCTGACTAGCTGTGATTACTCGCAGTAACATTTTTTTTGTCAGTCTAACGTAATTCGATTAAGAACTTAAAACCATTAACTGCACCTCCTGTCAAACTCGTTTTACATTAAGTCTCATTATTTAGTTTAAGTCTTAGCAAAAATAAGGGAAGCGTCATTTCGTAAAAATTAAATATATATGTAACATATTTTTATAGTATTACATTATCTTATGCTATTTAGCCAGTGGTTTAAAAAAAATCTTTAAAGCAGTTATTTACGCTGGTTTAGTTATATATTCACGACAACCATTGGTGGACAGCGACATACCGCGGACTGTATACACGTTTCAGACAAAAACGTGAATTACTTCCACCACCAGTGGCTGTCGCATGTGGCCAGCAACGGTTAGCATAATTGGCTACTAGTAACTGTCACAATGATGTCACAAGTAGCCATGAGTGGCAGTCGTAATTAACCATCATTGGCAGTCACAAGTGCCCACCTATGGCTATCGTAATTGGCCACCAGTGGTGGTTGAAATTGGCCACCAGTGGTGGTCGAAATTAGCCACCAGTGGCTGTCGAAAATGGCCACCAGTGGTTCTCATAATTGGCTACCGGTGGCTGTCGTAACTGACCAACATCCATACAGCCCTAATTGTTCGTAATATAAAATAAATGAGTAAAAAAAGAGCCTATGTACTTAACTATGTAATTATTTGTATATTTGTTTTACCTATACTATTTTATATATGGTGTTTTTTAAAATAAATACAACTTTTAGGGTTCGTTTTTTTAACTTTAAATTATTTACTTGCGTAATTCCAACAGCTTGTCCGTGTTGTAAGCTACATATTTTACTTAACCTTTTATTACTTATACTGGGTGAAATTTAAAAGAAGTAACATTATTGTTTCAATGTTTCATTTATCGTCAATTCTGCCCTCAAGCTTACAAACACGAGTCTAAAAATAGTGTTTTTTTTTAAATATTTTGGTATCATACATCTTAGCTGGTCCCCACCATAAGTAACAAATCATCATCAAGCCATTATACGTCCCACTGCTAGGCACGGGATGTATAATGAGAGGTTTTAGGACATAGGAGTCCGCTTCGCTGGCACAACGCCGGTTGGGGACCACAACCCAAAGCTTTTATGCACAGCAACCCACAGTTTACACGTCTATTTCGTTGGTACATGTGTGTTGAGAAACGATTTATATACCCATATCTCCAATAATTAATTATTAACGATCCAATAATTATAATGGTAATTTGTATATCAAATATGAGGAGCAAAATGACGTGTCCTAATTGCCTTAGTGATTTAAAAAGAAAGGGGTTTTTTTAAGTCCTAGCAATATTATTGTAGTAAACTTTATTTATTATTATCACAACGACTTTCTTTATTACTACTTAACATGAACACAATACATTGCGTGATTTTTTACATATTTATAACATAAAATGTATACAGAATGTCATTTTAACTTTATATAGTTTTACAAAACACTAAGTTTCTTTGTAGAAGAGCATTAAAATTTCATCCTGTATACATATATTGTAATTGCAATGTAACAATTAAATAGCGTGTATTTTAAGTCCTAATTAGCCATTTCGTGTTGATTTTATATATGTTTGTTGCCTGGGGTCAATCGCAAGCAGGATTGGACCCCCTTGGGGTACATGTGCCCTTTTGGAGACATAGGGTCGGACCATTTAATTTCGAATAGAGAACAAAATATGTTTATCATATTCTCATGGGAATAAAATGGCTCTTTATCACTTGACCTTGTCCGTGAAATAGGCTTTGACTCTCTCAGGGACAAATGGTTCTAGCATTTAACCCCTTTAGGGACCAAACGGTACCACCTCTCGTAGTATGTTATTGTTAGCACAACTTTTACACCTATATAATGATGTAAGTAACCTATAATTAATTAGTAAATACATATCTAGCGTTCATCGCTCGTAGAGTTGCCCTCAAATGATGTTGCAGCAGCGGCAATAGCGCGGCCGCGCGCCGCCTGCTGTCACCGGTGGCGTCACTGGCGCGAAATATGCGTGCACTTTTATGTTAGGGAGATGGTTCTGGAACAAAAGACTTCTTTTTAAATACCGTTGGAAAGACTTTTGGTGATAATTTTTCAAAAGGCCGCCGTCTTTTTGAAATTGCATGTTCATTTTTAACAGTCTTATTATATTTATTCCTTGAAAGCTTCCAAACTTCGTATTAATAAATCATAACATAACTAGTAGAGTTAATACAAAGATCGAACACTCAGAAAAAATTCCTTCGATCCGGTCGGATTCGAACCGACGTCTTCTTGCATACCGTGCCAGACGCCATACCAACTAAGCCACGGAACGAACCAACGGACCTCACGAATTTTTCTATGTGCTTGCGTCGTGTCCTTGTATTTGGTTTTTCAACGACTTTTTAGTCGTAGCGCCATCTATGAGAAATCTATGAAAGATTTATCACCCAGTTAGTACCTTTACAGCTACCAGTCCTGGCGAGAGATGTCGCTATTCACTGTATTAAATAATTTTTTATTGAATTGATATTCAATTATTTTTAGTGAAATTACTCCACTAGTTTGTTATAATTATTAATACAAAAATCGAACACTCAGATATACCTTAATTAAATCATTTATTATAGTCGTCACCAAATAAGAGGCGAAATTTGACATTTGTGATCGTGACACGAATAGGGATGTGGAGTCAGTACTCACATTAAACGATTTTTACGAGAAATCGATTAAAAATTTTAAGAGTTTGTGATTGTTTAGATTATTTTTCGGTTCATTATTGTTCTGGGGCCCTAAAATGTCAAATCGTACAATTTAGTTAAAAGCAATTCATTTACAGAATTCCTTGCAATTCTGTAGCAATTCCTCTTGTTTTCGTAAAATTGTCCCACATCCCGGTTAATTGTATCGAATTCTTTTGATTTTGATTTTATAATATTCATAAATGGTTTATTATGAGGTTTAGTATAAATAAGTAAGTTCATCAATAAAACAACTATATACTATTTTTTCCGAGACATCGAAGTGACTCGGTGAAATTCGGCGATTAATTGCTTACAATATTATTTAAGAAAAAAAAATAGCTTGAGGACGTAACAGTTTTCAGTACGTTCCGCAGTAACTCAAAATTGCATTTTATTTTGTAATTCGTGCGAAAACAGTACTTTAAATACGTTTTGTCATGTTATTATAATGTTTCAATGAAATTTATGAATTTTTTTTTACAGAATTGTGATAATAATTGTTTGTTTGTTGTTTCGTTGATCGCATTCAAAGTTACATACCATCGCCTTCTTTAGCTGTCAAAGGCTATACCCGTGTAAGGGAACAAAATATGCCCCTGACGTTAT